GAGAAACGGTAGCAAGAGATGTAGCTCATTTGCATAAAATCTGAACAATAACTTTGGAAGAGGTTACGATTCTGTTGCAAAAGAAAGGTTTATACCCATCTACGAAATGCACTTGGCGCAAAAATGATTTATTCTTTGCATTTCATTAAAATTTTTCTTATTCATGCGCATTTCCTCTCGAATTTTTCAGTAGTTTGTGGCTCAGATTTCGCTAGAAAATGAAATCTTTTGCGTGGATTCGATACATTCACGTACTTACTCACGTGAAGTTATGTTGGTTTTTGTGATCATATAAGATGAACTATTTTGAAAATTAATGTAGGATTTTTTTTAAATGCTCAGATATCTTTGCTTCTCTACTCTTGATAAGCGATTGGGTCCTTGTGATATAGTGATATGCCTCTCCATGAAAATTTCTCTTGAGTATCGTTATAATGATTTAGAAGAAAAATGGTTTATATTCAGCTTTCAGTAGTCATATTTTTCTAAATTCTTTATTTGCTTCAAGATTTGTCTCCAAAGTCTCTGGAACTGATGTAAATTTAATTGCATTTGATACAGTACTCTACGTTTGAGCAAATTGTTGCTGACTCCTTGAAGAGAAAGTATGTAATTGATATCTTCAGTAATTTTGGCAATTGCTTTACCAGTTACCCTTTCGCTTCCTGTTAAATCACTGGCTGTAGACTGCAAATATGGTACGTGGGCTACAGATGTAAGTCGTAATGACGACTTAATTCTGTTCTTATTTTTATTTTCGAAGTTGAAAAAGGAAGAAACAAATGTTGCGATTGTCTTTATTGTTATTTGCTTCAGCAGCGCGTTTGTTCGTAATTCATCACATTTGTGAGATCGTAAAAAATAGTAATTAAATGTAATTTTATTTGTCTTCATTTGCCGCTTATCATCAATCATGAAGAAGGAACCAACCCCATTACTTCCTCGATAAGGGTTTTAATGAAAAAAGCAAGGAAACAATGGCCATTCGAGAAATCGCGAGGAATAGGAGAATTTTTAATCTAGAATCCAGTCGCAAAGCTGTTTATCGCGAAGCTCTACTTTGTATTGTTTGACTTCTTGCAGTTTGTACATTTCAGCTTTGTAAAGTTTCTTCATACTGTTGGCTCAAAAATGATGCATATTTATCTGAATGCCAGAACTTATTATTAATTAGTTTTATGTTGGAAATTTATTTTGTAAAAGTAACAAAAGTTAGGAAGTTATTAGAGTAACCTGAAGATAGATGTTAGGGGTGTTTAGCGAATGTTCTATATTGAATTGCAAGTGTTAATTATAAAAAGAATTTTATCTGGCCCCCTTTTTTTTGACTCAAATAGCTAATTTGAATTGTTAACTCTTAAAGAGTTAATGTTTTCGACTTTTTCATTATTTCACCGTTTTTTACTATCAGCTATTGTCTGTTTTTTTAATTTAATGATAAAAGTAACCAGAGATGAAATGATGTATAATGCAAGAGGAAGTGTTGATAAGTAATAATAATTTTTCCTGAGATTTCGAGAAAATGTTTTGTCTGTGAAATTTGTGAAGTTTCATTTATTGTTCTAGGAAGATAAATATTGTATGGCAAATGTTGAACTTTTGCTTGAAATCTGAGTTAGACTGAAGTTAATTGGACCAGTCTGTCTGCCATATTATTTGTGCATGGACCAATATCTTGTACTTCTCACTTTTAAACACAGTCCGAAAGAAAGAGCTTTTTATTAAATATTTTCAATATTCGTTTTCGTAGAAACACCTGAAAAACTTGAATAAAAAAAAGTTTTGAGATTAAGAAATCACATCAAGTAAAAACTTGGTGTGATTATTTGACTTTCTTGCTTTAGCTTTTCTGAATTGTTGCAAACAATTTAAATTTACTGGAAATCTGTTTATTTTTGCATTTTTTATTTTGGCACGAAAGTGAATTTTAGAATTTACGTCAAGAATGAAATAAAACGTGAGACAAATTACACAGTTATGAAAGTAAATAATATGTCAAAAGTTATTCACTCTGTTTAGGCGTTGACCATTCTCATTCTTACATTTATTTCCTACAATTCCAGCTATGCCTATTTTTATTAGCATTAAAATACGGACTGATATATTCACATTGTTATTCTGATTTCCTTAATTAATTTTCCTGCTATTTTCTAAGGTGATTACACGTTTACTAAGGTTTTCAAATAAGAGATGTAAAGTTGGTCTTTGTACTCTTGCATCTGAAGCGACATAAGCATTAATAAAATATGCAAGTAAAGCTATACGGCTTTTACTTCATACGTTGGTTTGCAGCGTAATGAGATGTTAAACAAATAAACATAATTCTAGAGTTGGATATCGGTAAGGAAGTGATGCAATGTATTTAAACTGATCAATTTTGTGATTTCAAGCCTTTAGAAAAATGATGGATACTTCCACATGTTAGATCCTAAAAGTGCATCAGAATAAAAGTTAGGAAGAAAGCTCACAGAGTATCACCACTACAAATAGCCATACATAATAATGACAGAAATTGTCAAGATCAAAAACTTACAAGGTTTTGTTTTGCAACTATTCGTTCGTAAAAAGCACACTTCTTTGCCGCAGAACCATTTCAAAGCTGGTTTTTTTGTGCGTCGCATATTATTGTTGTTTTCAAGTCAATTTTCAAATTCACTTCCCACTAATTTCAGGTAACTTTTAGATCGATTTTTGTTTGATAGTATGGTTTTCCTGTATTTCTTTGTCCCTCGTCTACTTATCGCCGAGTTAAAAAATGCAAAAAATTTACATCTTGGCCTTATGTCAAGAATTTGCACCAATCGCCTATACAGGATTGCATTTCGTGAAAAATAGTCTCCGTAAATTGCAAAAATCTCCTTTATGAATTTTCGTAAAGCAAGTAATGCCTCTAAACTATCATTTTTGTGATAGCGCCAGGTGGAAAATTTGTTGCAAAAAGTTCTGTAGTACCGTTTATTATTTTATTTCATTGTTATTTGCTTGCAATTATGCATACAATACAGTGCCAAGTTATATCATCTCGTTTCTGCTTCATATCAGCACTGATAAAAATCTGCACCCATTTTGTGTAAGTGAGAGAAGGGAAAGGAGCAGTCCAGCCTTGTCAGTTCTTACCTTGCAGCAAGCGTCTCTCACGTTGTGCAACTCAGTGCTCCTTCTTCATTCATCACGCAAGGAGTATAAATAAATTTGAATGAAATATTTTTTCCATCAGTGCTCACTTCACTGTTCTGTTTCATTCTTCTCTTGCTTGCTGTTTTAGTCTTCTTACTTAGCAGCCAGTAGTGCTTAAATGCATCTCTTTCTAGCAGCGAAGAGATCCGTCTGTTCGCTTCTCATGACATGCGCTGTCTTGATTGAGATCAACTCCCAACACTCTTCTCATTGCAGTATTTTAACCTTCTGCACTTAAGCATACGCACCATATAATCGAATTTTCATGCAGTAAGCAGCCATAAACAGAAAAGTCAGAAATCTCTTCGTAAAAATAAGTTTACGGTACCAAATTATTCATACCAATAAAAACAGAGCACAGGGTAATTATTTGTTTTTGCTTAAAAGATAAATTAGTTGATATGAGCATAGTTCACTTCACTATTCAACTATGTCTACAGACTTTTCAGAATATAAATCCAACCATTTTTGATATTTTTATTTGCACTTAAAGTATTTATTAAGGAAAACAGTAAGTGAAGCATTTGAGACTGAACAGAATATAGACAGATAATAATACTTTTTGATTTAAACTGTTGTCATTTAGAAACAACCATTTGTAATTTTTTACAAATTCAGTGCGTTAATTCAAAGCCCATAGTGGCAGCAGACACAAGTGCTATAGAACTGCCAAATGATTTTTGCACCTCTAAGCTTTTGGTACAGTAGCACAGTAGCAAGCAGTTCCTGATGGAAACTGTGCTCAACGAAAACAATCTTTCTATTATGGAAGTCTCTTTTTTTCAAATTTGGAAGAGTTGAAAGAGATAGCGCTTTATTCTTTTAACTTTTGCAAATAATCTATTTCTAATCGCTACGTGACTGATCGAATATTTAGATTCTTTGTCGAAAATAATAAACAGTGCTTCAATGATTGAATTGAAGGTCATTTCTAATTTGTGAATCTGAAACCTGCTTAAAAACTAATAAAAGGAATGTTTTCAAAAGGTCATCTTTAATTACTTTTTGAAGTCTTAAAAAAGAGCAGAAAATGTACTAAATTCATAAATTCTCGTCATGTAGCAAAGTCCGAAAGTTACTTTGTTATGCGGAATAATCATTTGATTTCGGTAATTTATAATTCATGCATTCTTTATTGTCAGTGGAAAAGTAATTGTAAAATTTTACATCAGAAAGCAAAGTAGTGTTTCAGATCCACTTACTATGAACTTATTTAATTTTTATTCATATGACTTCTATCTCTATTCAATTATACAAGCGTAACCATATTTTATCAGTTAGATGGCGCACGCAACGATTGTATTCAGCTTCTGTTAATTGACATTAATATTAATTAACTTTAATATGAAGTCTATACTAAACTACTCTCCTCATTTCAAGCACTAACATTCATTTAGTCAGTGATTTTATTATCAGCTCATTCGTTGCCATTTTAGAATCTGGATCCCTTAACATTAAAAACTTTACAAATTGTGAACCAAAACTATTCCCCACTAACAATGAAATCTGTACTTTGTATATCGCATTTAGTTAGTTTACCTTATGCTATTGTAACTACTGCAAAAGCGTTTACTCTGCGCAGGAACTACGTAATTGCTAATATTGATTTTCACTACTATACTTACTGTGCGATATCAATGCGTTTTCAAGTTTGAACTTTTCCACCGATTCTACGTTGTTTGCAGATTTTAGAAGCAGAACCAAGTGATTCGCTGATATATATATTTAGTTTGCAACCCAGAAAGTATTCTGAAGATATATTTGTGATTCATTCAAAAATTATGCTTTTTGCTTAATTTGTCGTTTGAGAAGTTTGGATAAGTATGGAAGTCAGAGACATATCTTTGGAATGTAATGCATCTTCACCTTTCCAATCAAGTAATATTAATTACTTGCCAATTCCATCATGTCAGCAGTCAACTTCAGCTTCAGCTTTCTCATCGCCAGCTTTTACATCTTTCACTCCATTCATAATTAACCCAGAGGTTACAATTATTTATCATTTTTTTCGCTCTGAAGTGCCTAAATTATTCACAAAAACGGGAATTTTAGACAAAAATTACAATATTAACTTACAATCAAAGACAGAGTGATGTTCAGAAAGTTCCTACTAAATATCTTGTCAATAAGGATATGGTTGAAGTAGTTCTAATTAGTTACTAATTAATTTTTCATAACTGCTGTACTTTAAACAAATCTGATGACACCGAATGCAATACCGTATGGTTATTTTAAATTATTTATCATCAAATGACTGCATTCTCGTTATCAATTTAGCCCTCAAATGATATGAAATCCAATATTGTTGTTCACAATCCATTGTCAGCAATGGCCACACAGTGTTTCGGTCATGAATCATTAACTATTGCGAGGCCTACCACAACTATGCCACCAAATCCAAATCAGCTTTTTTATGGTGCTAGTCATTTTGGCTTATCGCAGTTAGTTTTTTTTTTGATTTTGGGCTTGATCAAAGTTTTGTAAAAAGACTACAATATTTTTTTGACTATTTTCGGACCGAAATAAATTAACCTTTTCGAAATTTATTATAGAAAGTACTTTTTTTACTAGGCTAATGAAGTTAATTACATATTTCCACTTTAAATAAATACAGACAAAATGATATGCTTTCAATTACAGAAAGTTAAGATAACTTTGCTAGTTTCATTCTACATTTTAATAAATTCCCTTCCACTTCAATTGTGGAAATTTAAAAAGATAACTTTCAGTTTTTCAGTTTTGTTTACATAAAAGCTTTTAATTTTCACATAATCAAAAATGAACATTTAAAAAATAGCAGTTTTGTAAAAAGTCTACGACATTTTTGAGTTTACCATAATGTAAAATCAGTGAAATAATGTAATGTGATGCAGTCAAAAATTTGCAAATTTAATGACTGCCTGAACAAGTCAAAACATTAGTTTTTATTTGATTTGCACTGAGTTTTGAGAAACTTGCGAGAATCAATTAAACAAACAAAAATTTGTTTCCGGGAGATTTAGCAGCTCAAATGTTTCTTTTTATCATTATTTGGTTGAAATTTTGCATTTGTCATTTGCATGCTGAAAATGCATTAGCTTCGACAATGAACAGTGAAAAGGTCAGCTTTGGTTATTATAGCTAATATTCTGAAAGAGTCAAGCCGTAAAGTTATAAGTCACATTCTATTGCAAATAAATGATAGATAATTGGACAGCTGTGGAAATAATAATAAAAGCATACACTGTTTCTGCGCACTTTACTGACCGTTGTCCACCTTTCTGGAAGATATGTAAAGCTTCAAATTCGGTCGAAAATTACTGAGAAAGGACAAGTTAGTTGACTGCCCAGAAATTTATTCCTCAGCAATACGAAAGAAAGATCATAACGTGCCGCTTGTCCTATTAATCTATTTGGAGCAAAGATTAGGATAAGAAAGCACCAATACGACAGAATTTCCTAGAAAATCCTTCAACTTACGTACTGTATTAAATTGATTGTCACACGTTACCTTCTAAAGATTCGTAAAATTTCTGAAAAATAGTGCATAAGCAATTTGCTAGTTTTAATAATATGTAATATAAATCTTTAGCAATTAATTTACCTCGTTCAGCATGTTTTTGTTAGAAAAGCATATAATTCCGCATTCAAAATGTTGCGTTCTCCTTAACTTCATATGGAATTGTGAACTAGCTCGACAAATCGACACTGCACATCACACGAATCGAACACTTTATCATCCTTATAAGTCGTCTTTTTACATCACCGGCCATTTTTTTTACGGCCCATCAAATCACACTCACAAGTCATTACATGTTTACTTTCTCTGTTCACTTCATGACCTTCGAGAGGTAGTTTTAGGAGTAAGAGGTAAACGAATATTATGCGCAGGTCATTACTGTCTATTTTGATATTTTTTGGTAGCGATGGTAATTTTTTAAGTTTCGCAGTGCTTACATACAATTTAAATGAAGTGTTGTTTTAGTTTAACTGTAATAGCTGTCGTAATTTGTTCCTTAGTAATAATTGCGTGTCTGTATTCGCTGCTATTTGGATAGTGCTAAAAATAATACAGTTCTTGGAATGGTATTTTATAGAGGTACTGTATCACGTGATACTGTGGTGGTGCAGTAATCGGCTTGTAAAATATAACCAATATTGTGCAAAGCGATTGGCATAAAAAAATTGCGTCTGCAAAACGAGAGAAAGCAGCAATTGCTGACGAAGCAGAGTTGATCAGATGGCGAAGATGCAAGTTGCAAATGATAGCATACTGCCTAGGGTACTGACTGAAAGCACGGCAAGAAGGAAGCGTGTTTTGCTTTTCTCGCATAAGTTGATGGCCTTCATTTCCTGCGAAAAGTACGATAACTCGAAGTTGTACTGGCAGTTTTCCTCACCTTTGCGGCGTAACTTGAAAATCTGAAACAAATCATAGCTTATAAATGAATTTAACATCTGTTTCTGGTTGAGACTTTTATTATCTTGAAAATATTACTACCTTAATCAGTATTTTAGACTGGAACAAAATCGCTTGGACTACGCTGCCTTGTAGATAGAAAGAAATCAGTGATAAAAAGTGATGAGACTACTTTTTTCTTGTTTGAACGAAGTTGTGAATCATGGCCATAAAATCAAGTGATGTTACTCGAAATATACAAACAGTCGGAACATCTCCGGGGGACATATTGAGAAAATTTGATCCCAATTTTTCTTTGAATAAAAAGAGGTAGCTTCTCGCGCTTTTTTTCATATCTACGAACTGCAAATAAAGTTCCATCAAAAATCAGTTCCTAGCCTGTTGATATGAACTGGGTGAGACCCAGACAGGTTCAATTTTTGGAGTTTCACAGACTTAAATGGATATTCCTTCTGCTACTACTCATCAACTTGGTTAGATTTGCTTCATACTTGTGTGTGTTTCACTTCATTCGCACAAGTAGTTATGGGACTAAGTGAGTTGCATAGTGTCGTATTACAGGGGTCGTAGGTCACATGGTGTTGTAAATGCGTGGATGTGAATTCAGGAGTAGGATTTGTCATGTTCTACCTTGTTGAGGAGTTTATAATGGTGAAGGCGGCGAGGTTTGTTGGAATTGAAGATTATTCAAGAATACCTAGACATGTGAAGGAAAGTAAAGGCACTCAATGGTGAGCTGAAAAAGCTTGAATTCAATCCATAATAATTTGCATACAGTTTGCTAGCAAACTTTCTCTCAGTATTCCTGACCAGCTTGAGGCGTTAAATGGAGATTGTTGAATGTTAGATTCATTCCCCCACTCCAACAATGCAAGCAGTACGTCGCACGTCACTACTTTGAAGGTTTCTTTCTCACGTAAACATTGCAAGCGTACGTTGATCTTTACGCTTTTTGTTTGATTCAAAGTCAATAGTTTCATTTCAGATGCAATTTTTCTTTTAATTTTACTGTCCCATTGGGTTAAAATCTGGAAATTTTCCGGACGAAAAACAATTTAACGATAAAAATAATGAAGTCAGAAAAATGTTTCTTCATGGATGTGAGAAAGTTTGTTGATCAGAGGTAAAAAGGAATTGCGATATCATTTTGATCCAGAGGTGATCACGACTAAGTCTAGATTATAAAAGAATGTTCTGTAATCATTTGGTAATATAGTTGCATATCGAAATAATTGGAGGGGATAACAAATTTGTTGATCAACTGATTCTTATCACATTTATTTTCACATTCCATGTTTTTATTTTTTTATTTTATCAGAATTTCGAAACATTTGATAAATGATTCTTATTCAGATGGTGTCAATAATTTCTAAGAAATTTTTTTTTTTGCCATTTGAAGTGAACAGCAGCTTTGTTCATCAAGTTCTGTAGTAGATATTATGTCATAAGGAATGTAAAAGATGTTTGGAAAAGTGACATTTCAGTTACCATCTCAAATATTACCTTGACTCTATAATCTTCAGTTATTTCAGAGAAGTATTCATGGCTGCTTACCATCGGCAAGGTATGCATGCCCACATGGCACCTACAAATTTGGCCACTCATATCCATGCAGTTCAACCAACGTATTCATCTTGTACATCGCTCAATGTACCGCCATTCGGTTTACGCACCACTGATGTTTCTAATTCCTCTTCATTTGAAGGTTTAATTTGCATACTAGAAATATTTAGTCATCAAGAGCCACGAGTTTGAAAATAAAAGTTTATTTTATTTTTCGACTTCAAAATCAAATTATTAGCCCTATGTTACTAATTTTAATATAGTTTCTTAATACATTACTTTTTGGATTTTTTTGTGGAAATGTGATTTAAAGTTTTAAACGTATTTTCAAAACAATCACTTCTATTTATTTATTGCATCTCAGCTCCCAAAAAATCACTAACTTAAGCTTTTAAAAATATGATTTTCACTCCATATATTTTTTGATAACATACAG